ATATATATATATATATATATATATATATAATATATATATATATATATATATATTATATATACATATGTGTGTGTGTGTGTGTGGGTGTGTGTGTTTTTGTGTGCACATACACAGATAGGAATCAAATGTACAGAAATACGAACTGTATAAATATACAATATCAAAATAAGAAAGAACTGTATGAAGTGACATACACACATATACGTGTCTATGTGTCTACGTATATTTCCTGACACAGTCTATCATTTTTGTACTTCTGTTTCGGAACAGTTCTCTTCATAATTCATCTCATAAATTCTCCAGCCTCATTGTTCTTTCCCTCATTCATAAACCTTCCAATCTCATTTTCTCTCAACCTCATCCTTCGTCCCATAACCCCATTCTGCTGCTATCCAAGAGATCTTAGTTCGCCTTAAAAAGAAGAAGAAGAGGAAGAGAAAGGAGGAAGGAGGAGGAGAGGAGAGGAGGAGGAGGAGGAGGAGGAGAGAGGAGGAGGAGGAGGAGAGGAGGAGGAAGGAGAGGAGGAGGGAGGAGGAGAGAAGAAGAAGAAGAAGAAGAAGAAGAAGAGAGAAGAGAAGAAGAAGAAGAAGAAAGAAGAAGAAGAAGAAGAAGAAGAAAAGAAGAAGAAGAAGAAGAAAGAAGAAGAGAAGAAGAAAGAAGAAAAGAAGAAGAAGAAGAAGGAAGAGAAAAAGAAAAAGAAGAAGAGGAAGAAGAAGAAGAGAAAAAAAAAAGAAAGAGAAGGAAAAAAGGTTCTCTCCAAGATAACGAGAACAATAAACAGTAAAATGTTATACCATTAAGAGAAGCATTTATAATATTGGTAGCTTCTCGACTCCGCCATATATAAAGAAACACATTCACATTTATTTAAACTATATATTTCATTTCTACCAGTGAACACTCGTGAAATTCGTAATTAATTTTTGTTTCATTGATATATTTACATGTTTTTTTCGGTTAAATTGTAAGTACTTTTCACCCCTATATTTAAGAGTGATTAATCATTTCTTTTCACTCAGGTTCTGTGGTAATATTTATGTTTGCTTTAGTTTCAGTGAAATGAAAAATTTGACGGGTCTTGGCTTATCTTAAAATTTACTTTTTATTTCACTAACTTGTGCAGCTCTGTTCATTTATTGTTTATCATTTTTAAATATTCTTTTGTAATTGTCACTGTATCCTTCTTTGTTTGTGGCGAAGTATGTAGTTAGGAAATATTTAATGTTAGAATAGCTTTTGGTATAGTAATATTGGTCTTTTCAAAACTAATTTCTAGGGAGTAAACTATAAAAGTTATTTGTATTTTATCCACATTTCATAAGCATTAACTAGTCATACTTTTCACTTTAACACTGAATGTGATATCTGTTCTTGTACAAAACTATTACAAACTATTGGAGAATAGTTTCCCTGTCATATCGAAAAAGTTATGTTCTTTAAAGGTAACATTCTTCCCTATTGTAGAATTTGTTCCTTGCATTACCCCGTTCTATCCCTCTTCGCTGCTTCTTTTTCATGCACAAATCTGAAACGATAAGATAAATTGACTAAAAATCTTACTGTATAAATGAAGTAATTTTACAAGTAAAAAAAAAAAAAATGTATATCTTTTTACATTTGTTTTAGTAATATTATTAAACCAAAGGTTTTATAAGTTTTTCTAGTAGTACTATTAATACTAAGGCGGGATCCCTAAATAAATATCTTTTTACTGCGTACTTTAAGGTGCCAGCCAATGAGTATGTAAAAAAAGACTGTCGTGACTTCTTTTGTCTCTTAGTCCACTTTATTATGATTGGCTACGGTGGTTCCTCCTACTCTGCCCAAACCGTGACCCTGAGAGCATAAATTGATCATTATAAGTTCTCACGAAATTAGTCAGGGAAACGGCCCACCCTTGAGGTTAGCAAAATGAACACGTGCACAGGTCAATCCAGATTTTTTCCCCTAGCTATGATGTCTTTTTCTTGTTTACTGCTAAATTTAAGAGTGAATCTAGCTGGCAAGATTTAGCAAAGCATCCAACTGATCAGATGATTAGTATTAACGAAATTATTCATAGGTGTTACTAATCATTTTCAACATACTTCACCGAAGCGAAGCTCTACTGAACAGAATGCAAAATAATGATTAAAAAACGGATTTCAGTTTACGAATTCGCTATAATCCGGCTCAGAGCAAAGTGCAAATTAGTTCCCATATCATAGTGAGGGGGTGGGGGGTTCCCTACCCCTTCCCCTCCTCCTCTCTTGACCTTCCAGTGACCCTGTCGCATTGAAGGTCCGGGTCGTTTCTTTCGCTGTTTTCGTCTTTCTCTTTTCATTTAATTTGATTTAGTCACTTCTGCTTTCTTCTGTTCTATTTTTTTCTCTATCCTATGTAAATATCTATTCATTTTTTTCTTCTATATACGCTACAATTATTAATACAATACAAATACTACTTTCCCCAGACCTATCTCTTCATCGAATTCCTCACTTAAAATCTCCTTTCACATCTATCCTTCTCTATCTTTTTCCCTGCCTTCGCCTCTCCTCCTCTTTCAACGTTATTTTTTTCTCCACTCTCTTCTTTTCCCTGGTTATTTTCTTCTTCTCTCTTCTTTTTTTTCCTGGACCTTTTCCCATCGTGCGCATCACAGCCTTCTTATCTTAGTCACGACATTGCGTCCCCGACCAAGCATTTCCTTCGACGATGGAGACATTTGGCCAGTTTTACGAGGGTCTCCGGGGGGGCCTGTCGAGGGCTGTGGCGGGGCACGCTCTCCTGTATTCTTCTTTGGGGATTTTGTTATTTTGATATTATTGTTGTTATTGTTAATGGTTATTATTGTTATTTGTTATTGTTATGTTTTATTATTTTATTTATTATTATTATTTTATTATTATTATTATCATTATTATTATCATCATTATCATTACTATCATTATTATTATTATTATTATCATTATTTTCATTATTATATACTACTACTACTGCTTGTTGTAGTAGTAGTTGGGTTGTTATACTATTAGTAGCATTATATTATCACCATTATTGTCATGATGATGACAATGATGAATTATTATCGTTATAATCATTATCATCATTATCATTATTATCATTATTATTACTACTACTAGGAAAACCATTATTGGTCTATTATCTTCATTGTTTATTATCATAATCAAGATAGTTTTTTTATGTTGTTATCGTTGTTATTACAGTTAGTATTCGAAACATTATTACTTTCTTGGAGACAAAATTTCAGAAATGTATTTTTATTTCTCTCCATCTTAATAATTGTTCACTCACATCATGGTCTTCATTAAATCCTCTCTCTGTCTCTGTCTGTCTCTCTCTCTCTCGCTCTCTCTCGCTCTCGCTCTCGCTCTCGCTCTCGCTCTCTCTCTCTCTCTCTCTCTCTCTCTCTCTCTCTCTCTCTCTCTCTCTCTCTCTCTCTCTCTCTCCTCTCTCCTCTCTTGGTCCCCTTCGTTTTTTCTTTTCCCTTTCCACCCTCTCCCTCTATCCCTCCCTCCCTTCTTTCAACATTTACCCCTAAATAAAAATTTGCTCATGACCCCGACTTCAAACCCTCATGGCCCACGGTGACTTTTTTTCTTTCTTTCTTTTTCTTTTCTTTTTAACACGACACCAAAAGCATACTTATTACACACTCCTCAGTCGATTGGGATATAATGTCTCATTGTCATTGATTAGTTCTATTGTTTTGTGTCGGTATTTCGTGTCATTTTTATTTCGTCATTTTCCTTCGTCTTGTTTTATTTCTTCGTCCTTCTTCTCTTCCTTTTTGTATTTCTCTTCTTTTTTTCAGAAATTATGTCATTATTATCATTACTGCTATTATTATAATCATTATTACTAGTATCATTATCATTATTGTTGATTATTATTATTATCATTATCTTTTTTCTTTGTGTCAATCTCTGTCTGTCTGTCTATTATTCCGTCTCTCTCCCTCCCTCCTTCCCTTCCTCCCCTCCCCTTCTCTCACTCCCTCCATCCCCCCCTCTCTCTATACATCAAAAAGCACGCCATACTTTAAAATAGAATAATAATAATAACACAACCGGAACTTGCAATTGCGTTGTCAACTTGAGAGTTCACTGGGAAGATTAGGTACGGGAGGGGAGGGGGGGATGAGGAGAGGGATGTGGGGAGGAGAGAGAGTAAAGAAAGTCAATTGCATTATTACTTTATCATCATTATTATTAATTATCATTATCATTATTTATGAAGAATGATTAATTCCGTGTTGGTGTTTTCCTCGCTTGGGAAAGAGGTGGGGGGCGGGATGGTGGGCGTGATCAGTCTGTCAGTAGGCGTGGCGTCAATAAATTTGGATATCAACATTGTAATTATATGGGGGACATGGGGGAAACACGGATAAGAAGACGGATATTGAAGATATAAGATATTGTACTGAAGACAACGTGAAACTGATAATGACTTTATCTTTTATCTTGTGTGTTGCCTCAAAGAATTCCTTTGCTTGTTTACTTTTTAGTCATTCTCTTTATTTATCTATTTTTTCTGGCATCCTTTCCCTGCTTTCTTCTCTTCTTCTCTCTCCTTCTGTTTTCCCGTCTTCCATTAATCTGACTTACGTACCCCACTATACAAGTCTGTGTTTATAGTGCATATGGCCGTTCAGTCATCAGTCAATATGATCACCATTCATCATAATGTACGATCACCAGTACCATCATTATCATTAATAATAACTATCTTTATCATTTTTTCCTATAACCATCATTTATCATTATCATCACCATCAGTATCCTTAATGGTGATGATAATGATGTTTTTTCCTCGAAACACAATCGAGAAAATGTTATACTGCTGCGTAATGAAGGAAAACACACACACACACACACACACTTCCCCTCCCTCTCCCCCCTATCCCCTGCCACTATACACACGTTGCCAGAAGTACGTGATTTTAAGGATTGCAACGAGAGACTATAAGAAGGACTGTTACCCCGGACGTAAACACAGTTCCTTCGGGCGCTTCGTTAAGCTCGCGAAGACCGCCCTTGCGTGTTAACCAGTGATCACACACCCACACACAGTCCTCTTGTCGTCAGCTCGGGGTCTGCAAGGATGCTGACGAAGATATGCCTCCTGCTGACGCTACTGCTGGGGGTAGTGTCAGCTCAGGTGGTCACTGATAGATCTGGTAAGTTTTAGGTGTTGATGGTGTGTTATTTCGATTGTCTGACGTATTTTTTTGGGGGGGTTTGTCTTTAAAGAGGTTTGATAGAAGAGTTCGAGAAGGGGAGAGAGAGAGAGAGAGAGAGAGAGAGAGAGAGAGAGAGAGAGAGAGAGAGAGAGAGAGAGAGAGAGAGAGAGAGAGAATGTCTAAGTTTAGAGAAGGAAAAAAAGTTTATCAAAATAATGATGATATTGTTTGTATTTCTGAAAATACTAAAATAATACATATACCTATCTTAGCAAATTTAACAAGGGATTGAAAACGCAATTAAATTAGTTTAATATATTGCCCCTTCAGAAGGGATTGAAAACGCAATTAAATAAGTCAGAATGTACTTGTTCCCTTCATCATTAACGTTGCTCATACAGTAGAAACAAACGTCATAGACACGAAAAAATGCTGCGTCATACACTCTGGAATTACACCACTCAGGTACGTTCAACCGAAAATGAGCTTTCAACTAAACTGTATTAAAGGATAAAAACACGGTATACCTACACCATGCACTAATACACGGAAAGTCATACATGATATTGGACATGGCGCCACTCACACATCAAACGAAAACAAAGATCAAATAACACAGCAGAATCGGAATATAGACTTCCGGGTATTAAGATAAATGAAGCCAGGCCTATGCTCGGGTAAATTCGCAGGTATTTGCGCTCAGGCAACCTTGAAGCCAGCTGACGGTCACGACTTGGCTCTTCCCCTCAAGGTCTCTATAGATTTTTTTTTTTTTTTTCGTCTTTGTGGCTGTACTTGTGTGTGTGTTTTTCCGAGTTTATTGTTATTTGTCTGGGATGTGGATGTATTTCATTAGTGGGATGATTTTTTTTATTGTTATTGAAGTGATTATGTGTTGTTGTTTTTGAATGGTGGATACTTTCGCTTTTGTGCATAATTTGAGGTAGGAATTGCATCGTGAACTATCATTAATGCAAGACTAAAGAGTAGTTACTGTATTCAAAAGCACTGTGATTATCGTATGAGTTATCAGAACATTTTACGGTGACACTAAGGCGATAGAAAATGAAATAATGTGAACAGAGAAAATAACTAAAAACCTTCCTTACAGAGTGCCGTGTCTGCGGCGCCGGGTGCCAGTCGGTGGCCCGCTCGGACACCTCGTGCCCGATCTGCGTTTGCGACGGCGTGGCGCTCCCTGACTGCCCCTTGCAAGGCCCTTGTGCCCCCGGATGCAGGGATGCCCGAGACACTGACGGATGCCGCCGCTGTGACTGCCAGCGCCCCGATACCCAGGTATGCCCCGCCCTCCCTCCGTGCCCCGAGGAGTGCCAGAGGATTCAGGGCGGCGACGGATGCCCGACGTGCGTCTGCGGCGACGAAGGGACCCGCGTGTGCCCCGCCGTGGCGTGCCCGAGGGAATGCTCCTTGGAGATCGGCGGGGACGGGTGCCAGCGGTGCCAGTGCGAGCGCCCCGGGTTCTGCCCCGCCCTGCGCCCCTGCCTGAGGGGCTGCATCGAGAGGGACGTCGAGGCCGACTGCTTCTCCTGCAACTGCTCGCTGCCTGACGAAGACCCCGTTGGTCAGCCGGAGCCCTTCGGCCCGGAGCCTTTCGGTCCTGGCGCCTTGGGTCCCTTGGGTCCAGGACCTCTAGGCCAGGGGCCCCTTGGGGGGAGGAGGCCCTTCGAGAACCCTTTCGACAGGCCTTTTGGCAGTCCCTTCGGCAGGCGCCCCCCCTTCCTGGGCGGTCCCTCGAGGCCATTCCCGCGGTGCCCCTCCCAGCCCCGCCGCTGCCCCCGCGGCTGCCGCATGGCCATCACCGCCGAGGGCTGCCGCCAGTGCATGTGCGGCGACGATGCCTTCCTGTGCCCTGGCGTCCGGAGGTGCCAGAGCCGGTGCCTCTTCCTCAGCCCCGAGGACCGCTGCTGCCGCTGCGAGTGCCCGAACCAGCGCCCCCGCGGCCGCCCCAGCGTCCGGATCGAGCCCTTCATCGGGTCCCTCGGCCCCTTCAGGCCCAACGTGCTTAGGATCGGCATTCTGAGGCTAACGCCCTCGGGAGCGCCCGGGGACGTGGCTCCGGGAGACGTCGAGGTCATAGGTCGTGACCGCACCCCGCCGTTTGCCGAGCGACCTGTGCGGCCAGCTGAAGCTCCCAGGCAACCAGCTGGAGCTCCCAGGCAACCAGCTGGAGCTCCCAGGCAACCAGCTGGAGCTCCCGTGCAGCCATCTGAGGAGCCCTCGCGACGGGATCGCTTTCCAAATCAGCCGGAAGTTCCCAGGCAGCCGGATGCAGCTCCAGCTCCACCAGCCGAAGCTCC